CATAAGAACCGCTCCTGCCCAGATACCCAGCTGCGTGGTCCTCAAACAACAAAAAGAACTGCTCCTGCCCAGATCCCCACCTGCGTGGACGTCAAACTACAAAAAGAACTATTCCTGCCCAGGTCCACAAATGTGTGGCCCTCAAAATAAGTAAGAACTGCTCCTGACGAGATGCCCAGCTGTGCGGCCTTCAAACTAAAGTAAGAACTGCTCCTGCCGAGGTCCACAGCTGCGCAGCCATAAAAGTAAAGAACTGCCACTGCCCAAGTCTGCAGCTGTGCGGTCCCAAAACTAAAGAACTGCTCCTGCCCAGATCCCAAATTTCGTGGCCTCAAACAAAATTAAGAACCACTCCTGCCCAGGTCTACAAATGTGCAGCCCTTAAACTAAGTAAGAACTGCTCCTGCACAGACCCGCAGCTGCGTGGTGGTCAAACTACAAAAAGAACTGCTCCTGCCCAGATCCACAGCTGTGCAGCTCCAAGGTAAAGTAAGAACTGCTCCTGCCCAGAGCCCAAATTGCGAGGCCTCAAACAAAATTAAGAACTACTCCTGCCCAGGTCTGCAAATGTGTGGCCCTTAAACTAAGTAAGAACTGCTCCTGCACAGATCCCCAGCTGTAAGGTCCTCAAAATGCAAAAAGAACTGCTCCTGCCCAGGTCCACAGCTGTGCAGCCCCAAGGTAAAGTAAGAACTGCTCGTGCCCAGATCCCCAGCTTCGAGGTCCTCAAAATGCAAAAAAACTGCTCCTGCTGAGGTCCACATCTGTGTGGCGCTCAAACAACAAAAAGAACTGCTCCTGCCCAGGTCCACAGCTGTGTGGTCCTCATATTACAAGAAGTGCTCCTGCCCAGGTCCACAGCTGTGCGGCCCTCAAACTAAAGTAAGAACTGCTCCTTCCCAGATACCCAGCTGCGCAGCCTTCAAAGTAAAGTAAGAACTGCTCCTGCCCAGGTCCACAGGTGTGCAGCCCTCAAACAACAAAAAGAACTGCTCCTGCCGAGGTCCACAGCTGCGCAGATCTAAAAGTAAAGTAAGAACTGCCGCTGCCCAAGTCCACAGCTGTGCGACCCTCAAACTAAAGAACTGCTCCTGCCCAGATCCCCAGCCTTGCAGCCTCCAAACTAAAGAACTGTTCCTGCCCAGGTCCACAGCTGTGCGGCCCTCAAACTAAAGTAAGAACTGCTCCTGCCCAGATCCCCAGCTGTGTGCCTTCAAACTAAATAAGAACTTCTCCTACCCAGGTCCACAGCTGTGCAGCCCTCAAACAACAGAAAGAACTGCTCCTGTCAAGGTCCACAGCTGTGTGGCCCTGAAAATAAGGCAGAACAGCTCCTGCCCAGATCCCCAGCTGTGCGACCTTCAAACTAAAGAACTGCTCCTGCCCAGGTCCACAGCTGTGTGGCCCTCAAACAACAAAAAGAACTGCTATTGCTGAGGTCCACAGCTGCACAGCCCTAAAAGTAAAGTAAGAACTGCCGCTGCCCAAGTCCGCAGCTGTGCGGCCCCCAAACTAAAGAACTGCTCCTGCCCAGATCCGCAGCTGTGCCACCTTCCAACTAAAGCAAGCACTGCTCCTGCCCAGATCCCAAATTATGTGGCCTCAAACAAAATTAAGATCTATTCCTGCCCAGGTCCACAAATGTGCGGCCCTTAAACTAAGTAAGAACCACTCCTGCACAGACCCGCAGCTGCGTGGTCGTCAAACTACAAAAACAACTGCTCCTGCCCAGGTCCACAGCTGTGAGGCCCATAAACTAAAGAACTGCTCCTGCCCGGATCCGCAGCTGTGCCACCTTCTAACTAAAGTAAGAACTCCTCCTGCCCAGATCCCAAATTGCATGGCCTCAAACAAAATTAAGAACCACTCCTGCCCAGGTCCAATAATGTGCGGACCTTAAACTAAGAACCGCTCCTGCACAGACCCGCAGCTGTGTGGTCGTAAAACTACAAAAAACTGCTCTTGCCCACGTCCACAGCTGTGTGACCTTCAAACTGAAAAACTGCTCCTGCCCAGGTCCCGACCTGCATGTTCGTCAAAAAGAACTCCTCTGGCCCAGATACCCAGCTGTGTGGTCCTCAAACAACAAAAAGAACTGCTCCTGCCCAGGTGTGCAGCTGCGTGGCCCCAAGATAATGTAAGAAGTGCTCCTGCCCAGGTCCACAGCTGTGTGACCCTCAAACTGAAAAACTACTACTGCCCAGGTCCCGACCTACATGGTCGTCAAAAAGAACTGCTCCTGCCCAGGCCCACAGCGGTGCCACCTTCTAACTAAAGAACTGCTCCTGCCCAGATCCCAAATTGCGTGCCTCAAACAAAATTAAGAACCACTCCTGCCCAGCTCCAATAATGTGCGGACCTTTAAGTAAGAACTGCTCCTGCACAGACCCGCAGCTGCGTGGTCATCAAACTACAAAAAGAACTGCTTCTGCCCAGGTCCACAGCTGTGCGGCCCTAGAACTAAAGTAAGAACTGCTCTTGCCCAGATCCCCAGTTGCTTGGTCGTGAAAATAGAAAAAGAACTGCTTCTGCCCATGTCCACAGCTGTGTGGCTCTCAAACTGAAGTAAGAGCTGCTGCCGCCCAGGTACCCAGCTGCATGGTCCTCAAAATGCAAAAAGAACTGCTCCTGCCCATGTCCACAGCTGTGTGGCCCTCAGAAAAAGTAAGAACTGCTCCTGCCCAGGTCCGCAGCTGTGGGGCCCTCAAACAAAAGAACTGCTCCTGCAGTGCCTATACTCTGGCAGGTATAGGAAAGGGTTGAAGACATCCTATCCCCTCCCCAGATTCTCAAGCTAAATCTGCACTTTGTTCAGCTCACAATCTTTACATATTTATATATTAGTGTTTGGTATGTTATTTTGTGTGGAGAGGTATAAACAATATATTTAAACTGAACGTTTCCAGTTATCATGTGCCTACTGTTAAATACATCCATACTGTTTCAACTACTTTAATGCTGCCAGAAAAATGAGCTATTAAAACACAAGTGAAACTGTCTGTGACCCTGCAGCACCTGTGGGTCCCCAGCCACCGCCCTCCCCCCCCACCCATCCTCATGACACTGCTCAGTGTCACTTCTTCTCAGCACCACGATCTCTCCCCAGAAACAAGCCCGGATCTGTAAGACAAGCTGCACTCAGCTGTCATAACACGCAGTCAATGTCAGGCAGAAGGGACACCATTTTACAATAGGCTGCGTAGCCCATGACAGGGAAGTAAGGCCCATGGCAGTGCTCCCTCCTCAGCACTTGTGGCTGCTGACAGGAAGCATTTTCCTCCTTCCCTCACCTGGTGACTGACTGTCCTGAACCATGGCCTCTCCTGGGTGGCAGGTGCTGAGGAGGAGGCTCAGCCTTCTTCAGGGTTGAAGTCCCAGGGCATGAGTGAGGACTCTACTGTGGCTCCTGCACGCACTCCTGGTTCGGCAGCTCGGCGCCCCCTGGTGGAAGCCCTGGGGAATCTCAGAAAATCAGTGTCAGATTCTCTCAGGCTGTGATTTTCGAAATTTCAACTGAAATCGAGCCCACCATCCTATGCCTTGACGGAACAGATGGAGGTTTTCTTTTCGTTTTTGTCTTTAAACAGAGTCTTGCTCTGTTGCCCAGGCTGGAGTGCAGTGGCATGATCTCAGCTCACTGCAACCTTCACCTCCCAGGTTTAAGTGATCCTTCTGCCTCAGCCCCCTAGTAACTGGGATTACAGGCACATGCCACCATTTCCTGCTAATTCTTGTATTTTTAGTAGAGATGGGGTTTCGCCATGTTGGCTAGGCTGGTCTCAAAACTCCTGATCTCAGGTGATCCACCCACCTCGGCCTCCCAAAGTGCTGGGATTACAGGTGTGAACCACGATGCCTGGCCAGACAGAAATTTTAAAAACTAAAAAAAATGTCCAGTAGGAAAAAGTCAGTTGTGTTTCTTCACATCAGCAATAACGAATGGAAATAATTGGAACTGGAAATATTAAAATGCCATTTACAATAGTACCCCTAAAGTTGAGTCCCTTAAGTATGAATGTAACAAAATGTATGCAAATATGCATTCAGAAAACCATGAATCACAGTTGAGAGAAACCAAAAGAAATATAAATAAGTGAAGAGATGTTCCTTAACCCCTAACCCTAACCCTTAAACCCAATCCTAACCCCTAACCCCAACCCTAACCCTAACAGTAACCCCTAACCCTAACCCTACTGAATACCCTTATCTCTAGCCCTAACCTTATGGTAACCCTCAACCATAATTTCTAACTTTACTTTTACCCACCCTAATTCTAACCTTAATCTAAACCTACTCAAACCTTTACTGTAACCCTAATCCTAAACCTCACTGCCCTTTCACCCTAACTCTTCACTGTAATCCTGACCTCTCATTCTAACCCTGGTTACTCACCTGATATCTCCCTCTAATGTCTTACTATGCAGCTCCCAACCACCAACCTGGATCTCGTACTTGAAGCCCTTATGCCATAATCTTCAATCGGTATACTCTGAACCCTTCAACCCATATCTCTTGATTTTATAATATCCTGACACACTAACTCTGTGAATACAAACTGCAGTCTATACAAGATCTTATCCTGATCTATCCTACTCAGTGCTATGCCACTTCAAGGACTGATCTATAACCTCAGAAATATAGACTTAATAATCTTCAACAAAATAATAGCATATTTCATTTTGAAAGGATCTGACACCATGAACACGATTTTTTATCCCAGTAAATCAACGGTGGTTCCACACACTAATACCATTCATGTAACACACAGTGTTGTTAGAATGAATGGAAAACACCCCATAATTTTCTCAGCTGTTGCAAAAAGGGCTTACAATAAAGCTGGAATTACAGCCATATGCCACCAAGCCCAGCTAAATTTGTATTTTTAGTAGAAACAGGTTTTCACCATGTTGGCCAGGCTAGTCTCCAGCTCCTGACCTCGGGTGATCTGTCTGCCTCAGCCACTAAAAGTGCTGGGATTACAGATGTGAGCCACTGTCCCTGGCCAAAAAAATCCATTTTATACATATACACTAGCAATGAATAATCTGAAAACAAAATTATAAAAACTTCACTTTAAATAATACCAATGGCAATAATATGCTTAGGAATAAATGTAATCAAAGGGTAAGACTTAAAAGAGGGAAATTATAAGGCATTGCTTAAGGAAATTAAACAAAGCCCAAATAAATGTAAAAACATGTCACATTCATGGATTTGAAGACCATTATTCGTTAAGTTTGCCAAACTACACAAAGCAATCTACAGATTCGATGTTATTCCTACAAAAATCCCAAAGGCCCTGGGACAGAAATGGGAAAGCTGATTCTAATGTTTACATGGAATTTCAAGGAATCCTGAAAAGCCAAACCAATCCTGAAAATAACTCCAAATCTGGATGTTAGCAAGGCGTGGTGGTGGGCACCAGCTACTTGGGAGGCTGAGGCAAAAGAATTGCCTGAACACAGGAGGCGGAGTTTGCAGTGAGCCAAAATCACGCCATTGCACTCCAGACTGAATGACAGAGCGAGACACTGTCTTAAAAACAAACAAACACCGAAAATATACAGATAGCAAATAATTACACAAAAGGATGTTCAACATCATGTCTCATTAGCAGACTGCAAATTAAAATAATGCAGAGATACCACTGCACACCTAGAACTGTAAGACTCTAAGAAAAGCTCAACAACAATTGGAGGTTGAAGAACAACAGGTACTGTCATTCACTCTTAGCAGAACGCATCAATTGTACAGCCACTTTGGGAGATAGTTTGGCAGTTTTTCCCAAAGATAAACAAGGCTTACCTACAATCCAACAAATGTGCCCCTGAAATGTGTATGTTTAGACAGATGCTTTGAAAAATTATTTTCAAACAAAAACTAGCATAATCAACTTGACATACAACAAAATACCATTCAGCAACAAAAAGGAATGAACTTTCAACCCATGAAAATAAATGAATGAATCTTGCATGTATGTTGCTAAGTGAAGGGTGGCAGCATGAAGATGCTATACATTATATGACTCCATTCACGTGACATTCTGGAAAAGGCACAGCTACAGAGATGATAATCAGATGAGTGACTGGGGTGGGGATTTTAAGTATTCTGGTACTTTAGTGGTGGATATCCAACACTATGTCTATATTGAAACCCACAGAATTTTAAAGCAGAAAGAACAAATCACAATCTACACAAATTAAATTATTTAGGTCATGGAAGGATCTAAGGACAAAATACAGAGTGCAACTAAGAATCTAATTGTATTACCAATGTATGTTGCAAATGGTGGGCCAAAGGTACTGACCTAAGTCATTTTGGTAATGAGTAGAATTCACAGACTAAAAGCAAAATGTACGATACACAAACAGTGGACTCTATTTTATAAAGCTATTTCCCATAGGGATAATAGTGAATTTTGAAACCACTATATCTGTAAAAAGAAAAATAACCATGATTTTCCCCTGTACTCTCAACATGTCACTTCTGACAGCAAATTGGGGTGGGTGATGTTTCCCAAACCAACCAATTTTCCAACACTCTGGACAATTGGGTGTCCTATAATTCAATTATGACATTAATTACTGAAGGTTGTACAGACCCTACAGGTTAAGGGCTTAGTAACACCAGGCTGTCCCCAACCTCAGATGCCAACCAAAAGTAGTGAATCCCCAGTTTACCCAAACTTCTATGACTTGGCTAGAAACTATGCACTCCTACACCCCCTCCTCAGGTTTGGTAATTTGCTATTATGGCTTATGGAACTCAGGGAAACTCTTACTTATGTTTACTAGTTAGTATGGTCTCAATGTGTGTATACCCTCCAAATACCTATGTTGAAACATAATCCCCAAAGGGACGGTATTCAGAGGTAACTGAGGGGTAATTGGATCATGAGGGTGCTGCCCTCATGAATGAAACCAGCACCCTTATCAAATAATCTAGGAGCCTTTTTCCCCCAATCCTGCCATGTCAGGACATGGCTAGAAGGCACTATCTATGAAAGATGAGCCCTCACTAGATATCAAATCTGTCAGAGTTGATGTGGGACTTTCCAGATTCCATACTTTAGGAATTTTTATGAAAGCTTCATCATGTAGACATGATCAACTATTAACTCAATCTCCAGTCCCTTCACACCCTCAAAGGATTGTGTGTGAAGCTAAAAGTTACAAGCTTCTTATCATGGCTTGGTCTTTCTGATCATCCCCCATCCTGAAACCATCCAGGAAACCAAAGACGGTCCTTACAGAAGACATTCCTATCACTCAGGAGATTCCAAGGAATTTAGGAACTCCACATCAGGAACCAGGGCTAAAGACCAAATGTTAGAACACAAGATGTTCCTAGCGCCCCTATTGTTCAGGAAATTATAAAAGTTTTAGGAGCTCTGTACTATGAACTGAAGACAGAGACCAAATATATTTCTCATTAAGTCCCAACCTGGAATCTGGATCAGGAATGAATTCCTTGTTCCCAATGGAACAAGGGATGAAATAAATGGCAGATAGTGACAGCCAGGTTCCTCACTGTTAAGAGTGAGAAGTTACAGATAAGAAATGTGGGAAGCCTGGAATGATCTCTGTGATAATGGATCAGAATACATATATGAAACATAGATATAAACTCACATTTAACTTTATATACACAGATAGTTCCATGTAGAAACCTGTATAATCAAGTGGCTACATAAAAGTTAGAATACACACATATATTTGTTCACACTGTCAGCTGTGAGGGTCATGATGCAATAACCACATTTAGTGGCCAGATGTAAGTTTTTAATACCATTCTCTAGCAGAGGAAATCAGGGGTCTTTGAAAAAATGGCTGAAACTAGGACTGGGACACAAAATATATGAGCCAAGGTACTTCTGAAGTAACGGAACGAAATTGTAAATAAATAACATGAAATTATGTCAAAGGAGCCAGTGGAAAGAGCTCCCAATGGCCACAGGGTATAAACAAAGAGCAACAAAATACTGCAGAACTGGATAACAACCAAAACATTAAAGTAACTGAGTGTCCATGCTGGTATCTATGATTCAATTGATACATAAATGGCCTGAATATAAATCTCTTACACAGAAGAATTCCAAATACCTGATATAGACACTCAGCCATCAAGGAGGTGGGGCTAACTCACCACTCCTCAAGTGTGGGCTCTGCATGGTGACTTCCTCCAAAAGCATACATAAAAGTTCTGCTTTGATGTCTGAATAAAATGTTTCTTTTTTCAATGTCAGGAATATTTGACCCTAACCCTAACTTGTGTACAGTCTACTGCAGAGCTCAATTGTATGTCTCAGCCACAATAACATGGGGCTGAGAAATGCACTCCATGTGTCCAGGAGAAAAAAAAGGTGAATTTTATAGAAAACATAGCCAGTCTCTTGACACACAGGAGTTCTCTCCTATGTGAATTCCCTAGTACCTGCTGAGGTATTTAGACAAAAGGTTTTTCCACATTCATTACACTCACACTTTCTCTCGTGTATGAATTTATTGATGCCTCCTAAGGTTTGGCTTCTGCTAAAAGGTGTTTGCAACATTCACTACAGCCATAGGGCTTTCCCTGTGTGACTTCTCTGATGGATAGTAAGGCTTGACTTGTGCCTGAAGTATTTCTCACACTGGTTACATGAGCAGGGTTTCTTTTCCATATGTATCCACTGATATGCTGTAGGATATGATTTGCTAATAAGGCTTTTCACGCCTTCAGCATGTTAATAGGTCTTTTCACCTGTGTGAGTTCTACGATGTACAGCAAGAGCTGACTTCTGGTAGAAAGCTTTCCTACGTTCTTTACATTCATATGGTTTCTCCCGTGTGAGTTCTCTGACGTCTATTGAGGGTTGACTTTTGACAAAAGCTTTTCCCACATTCTTTACATTCATATGGTTTCTCCCCTGTGTGAATTCTTTCATGTATAGTAAGGGATGACTTCTGGCAGAATGACTTCCCACATTCATGGGATTTCTTCCCTGTGTGAATTCATGTACACCGAGGGCTGATTTCTGGAAAAAGGTTTCCCTACATCCATTACATTTATAAGGTTTTTCACCTGTGTGTATTTTCTGATGCCTGCTGTAGTTTGCCCTCTGACAAAAGGTTTTTCCACATTCATTACACTCATAGGGTTTTTCCCGTGTGAGTTCTCTGATGCATAGTGAGCACTGACTTCTGGTAGAAGGGTTTTCCACATTCATTACATTTGTAGGGTTTCACCCCTGTGTGAGTACTCTGATGCATCCTGAGGTTTGACTTCTGGCTAAAAGTTTTTCCACATTCATTACACTCATAGGGCTTTTCCCCTGTGTGAGTCCTCTGATGTATAGTGAGTACTGCCTTCTGGTAGAAGGTTTTCCCACATTCATTACACTCATAGGGTTTTTCCCCTGTGTGAGTACCCTGATGCATCCTGAGGTTTGACTTCTGGCTAAAGGTTTTTCCACATTTATTACATTCATATGTTTTCTCACCTGTGTGAGTTCTCTGACGTATAATAAGAACTGAATTCAGGCAAAATGTTTTTCCACATTCATTACATTGATAGGGTTTTTCCCCTGTGTGAGTTCTCTGATGTACAGTAAGTTTTGACTTCTGAGGAAAAGTTTTCCTACATTCTTTACATTCACATGGTTTCTCACCTGTGTGAGTTCTCTGATGTACAGTGAGGGCTGACTTATGGTAGAAACTTTTCCTACATTCTTTACATTCATATGGTTTTTCACCTGTGTGAATTCTCTGATGTACAGTCAGGACTGACTTCTGATAAAAGGTTTCCCCACATTCATTACATTCATAAGGTTTCTCTCCTGTGTGAATTCTCTGATGTACATTAAGGGCTGACCTCTGGTAGAAGGTTTTCCCACAATCGATACATTCATACGGTTTCTCTCCTGTGTGTATTATGTGATGATAAATAATGGCTGACATTTGGCAGAAGGTTTCTCCACATTCATGACATTCATAGGGTTTTTCCCCTGTGTGGATTCTCTGTTGAACAATTAGGTTTGACTTCTGACAGAAGGATTTCTCACATTTGGTACATGCAAAGGGTTTCTTTCGCATATGTGTTCTCTGATGATTTGCAAGGTATGATTTCTTAATGAATGATTTCTCACATTGTATACATTTACAGGGTTTCTCTCCTGTGTGTATTTTCTGATGTTTGGTAAGCTTAGACTTTTTGTGAAACATTTTCCCACATACATTACATTCAGCAGTTATCTTCTGGGAAGTGAGTGCTGACTTATCACAGGGTTTCTCATATTCATTATATGTACATGCCATCTCTCCCACAGGACTCTTCTCTGCCTCAGTGCTGAAGGCTTTTCCTTGTCCACTATATTCAAAAAGCTGCTGCCTCATATGAATCTTGTTATGGTGACTAAGATACTCACCATGTGTGAGAGATTTCCCAGTTATACTTCGATCATGAGGTTTTCCTTCTGCCTGCATTTCATGAGGCTCAACAGAGAGAGAGATTTTCTGACTTATATTTAACTCCTCAGGCCTCATTCCTGAATAACTTGCATTATTTACCAACACACTTGGAATATGGTTTGAGCTCAAATTAATTATGATTCCTAATTCAACCGTTTCTTCAGTTGATGTTTTGTTGTTGGTGATTGCCACTTGCCACATATGTCTATGATGAATTTCCTGGCTTCTTTCAATTATGTCAACCATCTGGACATCTGAAATGAAAAACGGGGAAAAAAAAAAAACATGAACACACATAAGCATTTTTTGTGAAATGCTTATGTAAAGACAATGAAGTTACTTTCTCTCCTAGTGGTGTGAGATTCTTAAAAAATAAATTATCAGTACTGGCTTTATAAGCACATGGTTGTTCCTAACTTAATATGAGAAATTGCATTAATAGATTTTCTAATGTAAAATCATGTTTTTTAACTTTGTTTCAATTCATTAAAAAAACAATTGGTAAAAAATATTCACCTACACCTAGCTGTAATTTTCACCTAAGTGCTTATCAACTGCCAACTGTTCTCTGTTGTCTTTCTCCATTTTATTGTTGTAACTATGGGAGGTAGCTTGCATGCGATTTTTCTCATTCTCCTTTGAAGATAAGGTATTCCTGGATCAGCAACCTGCAGGTACACAAGATGGCCACTTGTCCTCAGGACCAGATTTTACATCAGTATTTCCTTAGTTTTCATGCTTCCCTGGGAATGTCTATATGTATCTGGGCATTTTTCTTTTTTTTTTTTTGAGACAGAGTCTCACTCTGTCGCCCAGGTTGGACTGCAGTGGCGCAGTCTTGGCTTACTGCAACCTCCACCTCCCACATTCCAGCGAATCACCTGCCTCAGCCTCCTGAGTAGCTGGGATTACAGGCATCTGCCACCACATCCAGCTAATTTTTTGTATTTTTAGTACAGAAGGGGTTTCACTGTGTTGGTCAGGCTGGTCTCAAACTCCTGACCTTGTGATCCACTTGCCTCAGCCTCCCAAAGTGCTGGGATTACAGGCATGAGCCACTGCACCCGGTCAGCATCTGGGCATTTTTCAAATGCAAAATCTCTCCTCCAAACTAGATGAAGACTGCTTCTTGCAAATTTCGAGTTTCACCTGACTCCTTTTCCTTCTCAGAATTATAATAGGTATCTGAAGCTCCACTACATCACTGTGGGCATCCCCTCCCTGCTGGTCCTAAGGATTCAGTTCTGCAACTCAGGTAGTGTCCATTATCTTTGAAAGGTCATTTATTAGGTCCTTCTGAGAGGAACAATCCTGATCTTCTCCCCTAAAATTCCTGGCACATCCATCCCTGCTTCATAATTCAATGCTTCTGAAGGCTTTTATTTTGTGGTTCAAGTTTCAGCTGTTTCCTAGTTTCAGAGAAAAACAGACTCTCTTGTACGCTTCTCATTGTCTACTGCCAAAAAGAGACCTGAGCCCTTCAACATGAAACCTTTGCTTCCATAGACCTTGGAACCAAGAATCTCCTGGTTCTCTTCTGAAGTCCAGGCCTATTCTTTTCCATGATCCTATACTGGGTCCTCCTCACTGTAAGGATTTTTGATGTCATTATACAAAAGGCTCACTCCTAGATTCCTCTTATTTTGGTTCAACTCCCTAGTTGACCTCCTCTATAATTATGATTCTAAAAACCAGCTCTGACTTACACATTAAGTTTGTATCTCCAATTGTAATGTCCACTCTTGCATCTAAATTTATATTCACCTACTGTGTGCCACAAGTAAGAGAGTTAACTTGAAATGGAGCTACGCTAAAGTTAATAATGCCTCTGATACTGCATTGTCTTACCGTCCTTCCTAAATTATATACCATTTTTTCATGCTGGTTAAATATTCTGCATGGTTCTTTTACGACTAAACATATTTTGTTTCTCTCATCAAAATGTACACTTTATGAAAAAATTTTGATCATTGCTATTACAAATGTAAATATAAAATTACCAAGGCTTACTAGCTACTCAGTTAAGATATGTTGAAAGAATAAATGGACGTATGAATAAATGTCTGGGGAAAAAAACAGTCCATGAACATGGAGGAAAAGAAGACAACTAAGAAAATTGAGAAAATTAATAGTAAAGAAAAATATCTAAGAAGAGCAAGGTAAGGATTAGGTTTTAAGTAAATATTTTAAAGTATTCAGCAAAATAAAATTCAAGAATATATATATGACAGCCCTACTTGGAGATGATATAATTCACAGAACTGATGCATAAAAAACAGCTGTCCTCAGGTACAGGACTTGGGAGATAAATTGGGGAAAACAAGTCAACACCGGCCTTGGCTTTTCCTGGCTTCCCTGCCCAGTATGCATTGACTAACCTGAGAGGCCCTGGTTTGCCCATTCTTCTCCTAACCATGGCTCTGCTCCTTGCTCCAACTTGAAGATCACCTCAGGTTTGGTAACACAATGGCCTGGTAATGGGAAATAATGGAGGACTTAGCCAAACTGCAAAGTAAGGTCCTTTTCAGAATGACAACAGCTCCGTTTCAGAAGCTATATAATGAAGGAGACAATATGAATCTTTAGTTAGAGAGGGTTGACACATTCTTCACATGGAATCTTACACTTAAATAGCATTAAACCTTATAAATGCTTCCTATATTTAGGAATATAGGAAGTGTTGCTTCTGGAGGTTACTGGGAAGTTTCACTCACCCAATGACACCAGGATGCTGTAGGTCTCCAGCAACACTTCCCTGTACAGGGTCCTCTGTGCATCATCCAGGTCCTGCCACTCCTCCCAGGTGAAATGCACAGCTACCTCCTCAAAGGACACCAACCCCTGTAACAGCACATTTCTCCTCAAGTCATCAGCCCAGGTTCACAAGAATAGGAATGTCAGAGTTCATTCTTCTGTAGATGCATATCTCTTATGTGTATCTTACATAAACTGTAGCTCCTCTGTACTCTATATGGAGAAAGAACAAGCACAGTAGAAATATCTTGCCACTACAATAATGTTTTGTTAATAAGATTACAAAGTTTGCCTTCAGATCTAGAATCATCCTTACTGTGAAAGATAAAAGTAGGAATAACATTCTGCTGTAATCTGGTATGACAACAAAAATTACAAATACATACCTGGAACAATACGGGAGATGAATTAGCAGACACACAGTTCAACGTCAACTACAGTAAGAAAGGAGAAAATAAAGTTTCATATTGTATTGTAAGGTTGAACTTCATTGAAAAACCAAAGATGTTTAGAACATCGACATGAACCGTGTGTTCTCATGACTATGAGGCAACACCAAAGCTGACTCATAATGACATGAAGAACACATACCACATTAATGGAACTACACATAGAACCATGTCTAGGTGAAGGATGCTGGGCTGTGATCACAGAGAATACAACACTGAAGGAACTGATTAAGGAGTGATTCTGCATTTAAACATCTGACCTATCTCCAGAATTTATTTTTAAATTATTTGTAAATTAAAATAATGTACACAAGCATCTGAACATTTCCTTCCTACATGCCAAATGACTGCTTGTGTCCACCCTAAGGTGAATACTCCTATTTTCCTAACCACCAGGTATAAATAATGTGCAAATTTGTGTAATATTTACACTCATTTGTGAGTGTAATGTATGTAAATACCTGTAAGAACAAGAATGTCACATGACCAAATATGCATTTTAACAGTCGCCTAGAGGGAGAATGGGTAAGGACTTCAGGAAGAGCCAGAAGAGAAGAAAACAGAGTGACAGATGACCACATTCACCCTATCACAGAGCAGTAAGAATACAGAACAGGGGGCCAGGCGCAGTGGCTCACGCCTGTAATCCCAGCACTCTGGGAGACCGAGGCGGGTGGATCACGAGGTCAAGAGATCGAGACCATCCTGGTCAACATGGTGAAACCCCATCTCTACTAAAAATAGAAAAGTTGGCTGGGCATGTTGGTGCACACCTGTAGTCCCAGCTACTCGGGAGGCTGAGGCTGGAGAACTGCTTGAAACCAGAAGGCAGACGTTGCAGTGAGCCGAGATCGTGCCATTGCACTCCAGCCTGGGTTAACAAGAGCAAAACTCCGTCTCAAAAAAAAAGAATACAGAACAGGGAAGTAATATTTAAAAAGGAAAAGGAGAAACGAAAAAGAATTTGGCACTAATTTGCTGTGCAGAGAGTGGGGAGTTTTACTTCCAGATGATGCATTATCACGTCAAGTGAGGTGCTGGCACTACAAAGTAAAATTTAGAAAATTAAAAATACGATGACATAGACTTAGACACATCATACTGGAAACATTTGAGGCATCATACATGGTGATGTCCAACTAGTAAGTGAATATACAATTCCAGAGTTCAGAAAATATATCTAAGCCGAAGAGAAATATTTGGAAAGTATCAGAATTTGTATGGTACTCATACCCATCATCATTTAAGAGATTGAAAGAAAAAAGGAACAAATGCAGAATCTACAGAAACACTGACCAGGAGAAACTTCCTAAGTTTATTCTACAAACAAAGCTCAATATTAATAAGTATACTAATATAGTTAATCATATTCATAGTTCTATAAAATCCTTCAATTTTGCACAGACATACACAAGGTACTTTTAGAAACACATTCCAGGTTTCTATTTCTGCATGTAAGAAGCTTGAAAGTCATCATTCCACTGAGGAAAGAAACCCCTCTTTCCTGTCTCTTGTCTCAAAGGAGGAAGTAAAAGTTGAGACACAGCACGCATGAAGTCAGTGGCCTGGAGGTTAAAGATTAAACCCCCTACCCCCCCAACCTTAAGATCTCAGGCGATCTTAAGGGTGGGGGAAATATGGAGAAACACCCTCTATTGTTCCCACTCAATCTTGCTCAAACCCCTATGCTTACTTCATCGATCATGACCCCCTCGTATGTACTTTCTAAAACTGTAAACCCAAGACCCTTTCACACATAATATCTACAGTTGTAAGCCTATATAACAACAGAGTTTTCCTTTGGTGGACGAGCTTGGCTGTTATGCAACTATGCTACCTTGCTTCTGGCTGAAAAAAATCACCCCTTCCTTCCCACTTCGGTGTTCGAGAGGTCTGTTTGTTGCAACCACTCCTGCTTCATTTGGTTCCCTGACCCAGAAGTGAGTTTCGGTTGACAGACAGCCGGCACAGCCTTTCAAGTGGTTTGCCTAGCCCTTGGGAGCATCCCTGTGAGGTGTTCCCGCCCACTCAGGCAATGCAATTCCTGAGAGCACTCCTGGGCAGGTATTGGCCTGGTGGAAAGCCTCACCAGGGCAGTGCAGGAAAGCCCCTGCAGTGTGGATCCACCCAGTCACTGAACACCGAGAAGAAATGGGTACTTGGAAGGTCCAGACAACAGAAACACGGTAGGATAGATCCTGGGAAACCTGCCCACCGGCTCTGGGTAGAAGCGTGGCCTGAACACCCACGGCGTGCCAGTCTCGGCACTCAGGATTTGATTTCGTTTCTCTGTAACTGGTTTCAGTACCTGAACTTGTTTCGGTCTCTAGGTGGGTACTAGCAATCTTGCCTCTGTTCTTGACTTGGCTGGTTCGAGGTGTGTAATTGTGAGTGAGTGTGGCAGGGCCCAATTGGAGAGAGAATGCGTGCTGCACCCTAACAGGCAGAAGACTGGGGGTAAAGTGCTGAGCCCCAAGCTGCAGTAACGGGCAAAGCCAGTGAGCAACCCCTTTACCTTCTGTGAGTGCTGCTCTTATCCTAACAGAGGGAGATGGGTAAGATGCGGAGTGAACCCACTCCATTAGGGGCCATGTTAAAAAAAAATTTTTCAAGAAAGGATGTAGTGGAGATTATGGCATCACCATGACACCAGGGAAACTTAGAACTTGGTGTAAAATAGACTGGCCAGCGTTTGAAGTAGATTGGCCTTCAGAGAGAATAATTAACTATTATGGTACAGCTACTTAGGCACAAGATGAGATGTGGGGATACCATACTCCCATCTATATAATTAATCATATCTGATTACAAGCAGGATTAGAAATTATGACTAATGAAAGCTCTAGAGCTTTAGATTTGTTAGCTGTACAGTCTACACAAACAAGAAATGCAGTCTATCAAAAACAGACTAGCATTAGATTATCTGCTGGCCCCAGAAGGAGGAGTCTGTGGTAAATTTAACTTAACTGTTGTTTAAAAATTAATGACAACAGATAGGCAACTAGATGAAACAGTTATACCCACGTTCCAGTCCAAACCCGGAAAAGGTTGAACTCCAGACTTTTTTGGTGGATGGTTTTCATCTTTTGGTGGGTTCAAGACTCTCACAGGGAGCACAGTACTTACATCAGGCAGGTGTCTAACACCCCCTTGCTTATGGCCACTCCTGTCTGGGAGTATACAGTCCACCACAGAGGCAGTGGTGACAGAACACATCACCTCCCTGATAATGGCACTAACAGGTAACAGCCATTACCCACAGAAGAAAGCTCATCTCATGAAAAGGCAGAAGGCTATAAAATGGACATAGGTCTTTTATAGGCTATTTTCCTTTCCCATGTCCCCCTTTCCTCACCTTGTATGTGGCTCACACACACACAGATGTACAAGGATAAAGTACAGAGGCTTAGCCTTAAACATCACTTGTAAAGTAACTCACTAGGGTGTGATCTAACTCCTACCTGGGCAGATGCAAATGGCGCAAGAAGGAGCTCTGAGTTTAACTCCTAACTGGCTTACTTGTGCTTCTCTCCAAGAGAATGGCCACATTGTGCCCCTAAGTGGATGGCTGGTTGGGCAATGACGGGTAAGACTCCCTGAAAGATGAGAGCTATCTAAGACAGGCACAGCTCCCGGGAGGCCCACAGGGGCAAAGGTCAAGCCAAGAGCCAGTCTGCTCTCAGCAAGCAGTGCTAGGAACAAATAACCACCAAAGAAACTTCCCAGGCAGGCAAGCAAGTTGCCTGTGATGAGACTTAGACTCTGTCCTATTGCGCTAGCACTCGTACATTAAAAAGAAGGTAAAAGCTTTCTGATAATAGTTTTCATTTTAAGAAAGCCTTTAAAGGGGGGAAATGTGGAAGGAAAATAAATAAAATAAATGGAAAAAAGTGAAGTTTAAATAATAAGCATAACACAGGTAGTGGTTAAACTTTAAACAGAGGCCATTTAGGCTAAGGAATTTAAGTACCCTCTCCTGAATGACGCTACAAGTTTATCTTGCATTCCAGGCTAGTTTCTGAGCTGTCTAAGGATTTGTAAAACCTCCTTCTCTAATATTAGCCACTGTAGTGATTCCAACTCTACTCTTAATGTAACTCTTTTTAAAATCCAATTTAAATACAACCGTAACTTCTGAAGGGAGAAAGTTACTAAAAGCTGATAAACTAGTAAGGAGCGATTAAAAGGCAACACTACTACTACAAGCCTCATTTACCCCTAATTTTGCAAATTTAGATAATAAATTTTAATCCACTATTTAAAAAAGGACCACGAATTAGTTTAAAAAAAAAAAAAAAGCAATTAAAAGCTAAGCATGTAAAACCACACCCTTTAAAGGAGAACTTTAAGCCAAATTAAATATCAGTTAAGTTACAAGGTAAAAATGTTAAGCCCATTCTCAGAAAGTAAAATTTTGTACGTAAGTGTAGTAAAACCATAGGCATTAAAAACTAATTTAGGATAGTCTTTACTCTGCTAGTAAGTCATTGTTTTCAGAAGTTTGCCAGTTTAAAGTCCATAAACTTGGTCAGCCTAAAAACTCAATTGCGAGATTTAAGCTATCCTACCTGTGGCTTTAAGGCCTTGTTTAAAGTATATTATTTAAGTCTCTGCTTTCAGAGATATTTTCATATTTCCTTTTAAACTTCAAGTTACCAATTTCAACTTGCCATGTTAATGACCGTCAGTTGCTAAGTTAATCCTAGTATCATCAAAATTCCTTTCAGGGAGGCAAAGACAGACTCTCCGGGCCTAATGCTTTAA